ATTTGTTTCTGTTAAACGGTTGTTAACTTGTCTTCACCCTCTCTGACATAAAGTCGTAAAGACCCAAAACAGACTGTGGCCAAACATCAACAACGTCTGCAAAAATGGTCAAGACACATATTCGAGACCCACCTTGGTACAAAGACATTGTGGAGATGTTTGAGGATGGTCTGCACATACATATTGGGCTCTCTGACCACAGGCTGAGGCATCGAGTCTCTGGGCGACACAAGGGCCATCATCCAGTCTGTGTACACGTCCACGCAGAGCTTGACAGTGTCACCCTCTAGGGGAAGGGTGAGCCCATAACACAGCACCTCCATGGTCCATTTCACCTTGGGAGCCAAACCGTTTTCATGAATAAATGTCTAAAACATATAACAAACCTAAGGCCAGAGAAAATGGTGCTCCGGTTGAGGGCAAACCTAAATTAAATGTTCTACAGGCAAGTTCAGTCACACAAATGCATTTCATTTCCAAAATCTCAGCAATATTTTGTCATATTTAAGGCAGACTTCTTTGGGTATTCCAAACCAATGCAATGCCTTTGACATCAGCTTCTCTCACCTCCTTGTCCGTCTTGAGGATGTTCTCCGTGGCTACAGGGCTGACGGCCGTGCAGAGTGGCTTAACCACGGCGTTGGCCACCTCGGTGCCCACATTGGTGGGGTAGGAGTGCAAAACGCTCAGATGGCCCTGGTCGCTTTGCACCACCAGCTGCAGCGAGCGCCACTCTGAGTACATGGTGCCGACGTCTGCTGCACTTCTACTCGCACCTCATGCTCACACCTGTAGACAAAACGTGTTCAAAGGTTCACCACATATACTGGTGATACACAGGGAGCTCACTATTGTTTATATTGTTCTTCTTATATGTGGAGTATTGGGCTATGTCTGTTGCTACACTATGTGAACAATGATTGATGGTAAGTGTAGCGGAATGTAGCTGCAGCTACTCCAACCAATGCGCCTAGATTGCGCTAGCATTTGGCCATAATTGTTATTCCTGTTTAGGGCACATGCAAAATAGAATCAGAGTCCAAAGAGAAGTTTGTGCCAAAAAGAGGGAACTATAATTCGATGGTTTGGCATTGGTTTTGTTTAAAAAGGTCAGACACCGACCACAAAACAGTAATTTGCAATCAAAGCTTTTCTACCACTTAAAGACATGACATGAAGAATTGTGCAGGGACAGCATGAAGTTGCTATGACGCACGAATGTCACATCAAACCCACAGTGATGAAGAAAAAATAACATACAGGAGTCATAAAAGAATTTTTGAACAAAGGCAACATGCAAGCAAGACACTATGGAATTATAGATGCCGTCTCTAAATTAGTTGATTTATTTGATTTGTATTTATCTTTTTTTGTGTGTGTGTTTTCTATATACTGTAAAATATGTTATAAAAAATAAATGGAGAAAACAGTAGACAAAACTGCCATTCAATTCATTTCATTTTAAGGATAAGTAGTAGGGGTGTAACCAAAGCTGATTTGAATTGGAAAATTGGTTTTGATTTAAAAGATGCAAGTGCATCAAATTGAGCCAACTCGTTCCACTTTGGAATATCTAGAAAAAAGTATCCAAATCGGCTTTTATTGGAGAGATACATTATATCTTTGAAGGAAATGCCACATTTACAGTACTGGCAGGTCCATTCTTATGCATGCAAAATGACAACAAATTCATCATACTCTCTCAAATTAAAACGGACCTTACTGGAACCAAATCGTCATCCCACTAAATCAAATCATTACAGTTACAAAACAAACCATCCTTGAATTGTATCGCCAACAGAGTATGGAGCAAACAACAAAATAACCACGTCCTGTAATTTCTTGCTTGAAACTTTACGATTCAAATTGGTTTTCGTTAGACCCCGGGATATTAGTGTAAGATAAATGCTTCGGGATCCTAGTTTGTAGTATACCTATGTCTTTAACTATCAATATTTGAAATTAGAAGTATTTGTGGGGTGTTAATTACTCTGGCAAGGCTCAGCACCTATGTTTACTGTATCTTCCAATGAGAGTAAAGCTGCCATCTCTGCTAATTAGTCACACGCTACCTGTATTTGTGCATAAGCTACATCAGCCAAGTTTTCGTTTTGATGCAAAGTTAAACCAATTTAGATGCGTGTGAGAAAACAATATTAAATAAAGTGCCATTTCTATGCACAAAAAACACTGGATGACAGAGTGTAAATACATGCGATTTGACGTGAATGCTGTATAGTTTGACAGTAAAGGGGGACGCATAAAACAAGTCATACGCCTCACATACATACATTATTGTTGTTAAATTGTCACTTTATGGTCTAAGGTGTTTGTGAACGGGCCGTAATCATCAGTAAATGCTAAGCTTCGGGTCAGAATCTCAACCAGGAAACGGTACCATTAGCCTGCTGATGCTAGCTAGCAGGAACATCACAACATATACGATTAGCTTGCGATAGCCGCTGCTTGGCTTCTGCGGTTCGGTACTAATAACACCAGATGTAGAAGAGCGTATCCACGAGCTTAACATAACAGTTATCCAATGCACCGCTGTAGTTTATTCGACTTGCAACCTAGCTTCGCCGAGTTAGCGCCGTCGTTGACATTAGCCCAGTCATCAGTGCTAACTAATCAAACAGAATCGAAAGGCATTCGTTTGCCTAGTACGCAACGACTGTTTTCATTTTACCTGACCCAAATTCAGACGTCATAACATGTATCCAAAAGGTGTAGTTCGTGCTCCAGGTTATTACCTGGGTTTAAACCCGAACAGCCTCCATCTTCGCAATGTCAAGGCTTGAACAGTGGAGCTTGACACGGGAAACGGGATGTGATACGGACGCCTCCAACTGGTTGCCAAATAAACAGCAACAGACTTCACCTCAAACTCTGCACGGTCCTCGGTTTACGACAGGCTCGATCGCACGTCTAACAGAGGGCGATTTCTATTAAAACATTTTAGAGATCATCCACCCATTTTCAACACCGCTTGTTCTAAATAAGATTTTGTGTGTGTCTGGAGGGGTTGCTAAAGCCAATCCCAGCTGACTTCGGGCGGAAGGCTGACTACACCCTGAACTGGTCCCCAGTCAGCCGTTGATAGAATTGTTAACACTTCCGTCTCACAATGCTCAGGTGCAGAGTTTTATTCCGCCGGGCTCCGACATTACTGTGTTGAGTTTGCATGTTCTCACCGTGCCTGCGTAGGTTTTCTCCGAGTACTCCGGTTTCCTCCTAAATTCCTAAAAAAAAACAAAAAACATGCATATTAAATTGAACATGCAAACTCCACACAGGAAGGCCGTAGTCAGAATCGAACCTTACACTTCTGCACTGTAGACGGGCGTGCTAACCAGTCGCTCACACCCCGCCCCAGTCAACCTTCAACGTGTGATTAAAAAAACGAAATTTTGAATTTTGAAAATTTTGAATCAAACTCAGTGTCCATTTAATTTAATATTAAACAAGTTTCTATATATTCGGATTAATCCACACACATTCATTTAAATACAATTGGGATTGGTTTTGGCAACAGTAAATTAAAACTGAACGCAGTTCCACTAACCGATTTATTAAAAACATTGTTTTAGTGAGTTACTGATAGTGTAGTGGTACACTCGCCGGACTCAGGTGCGGCCACCTATGGATCGGTTCCCACTCAGTGACGGAGTGGATGTGAATGGTCGTTTGTCTCTATATGTCCGCTGCGATTGATTGGCGACCACTTTAGGGTGTATCCGCCTTCCACCTTGAAGTCAGCAAGTCCCCGCGACCCTCTTCAAGATAAGTGGTGTTGAAAGTGGACGGATAAATGGATTGTCAAAATGTCCTGAACCTTGTGCGTTGTCATTTAAAAAGACTGAAAAATGAAAAAGACCCAAGAAATGAGGCTGGATAAACACCCCAAAAAAACATTAAATGGCTTTATTGTGAGCTGATGTTACAAAGTAGAGAGCAGGTCAACAGAAAAATAAAATATCGGTTTGTTTTTTTAACTCTTAGCGGACGTCGATCTCTTTTAATAAAAGTAAGCTGCTGTGCTTGTTGACAGTAGAGGGCAGCAAAGACTAAATCAGTGACAGCCTTTCTAAATAAGATTTTGTGTGTGTCTGGAGGGGTTGCTAAAGCCAATCCCAGCTGACTTCGGGCGGAAGGCTGACTACACCCTGAACTGGTCCCCAGTCAGCCGTTGATAGAATTGTTAACACTTCCGTCTCACAATGCTCAGGTGCAGAGTTTTATTCCGCCGGGCTCCGACATTACTGTGTTGAGTTTGCATGTTCTCACCGTGCCTGCGTAGGTTTTCTCCGAGTACTCCGGTTTCCTCCTAAATTCCTAAAAAAAAACAAAAAACATGCATATTAAATTGAACATGCAAACTCCACACAGGAAGGCCGTAGTCAGAATCGAACCTTACACTTCTGCACTGTAGACGGGCGTGCTAACCAGTCGCTCACACCCCGCCCCAGTCAACCTTCAACGTGTGATTAAAAAAACGAAATTTTGAATTTTGAAAATTTTGAATCAAACTCAGTGTCCATTTAATTTAATATTAAACAAGTTTCTATATATTCGGATTAATCCACACACATTCATTTAAATACAATTGGGATTGGTTTTGGCAACAGTAAATTAAAACTGAACGCAGTTCCACTAACCGATTTATTAAAAACATTGTTTTAGTGAGTTACTGATAGTGTAGTGGTACACTCGCCGGACTCAGGTGCGGCCACCTATGGATCGGTTCCCACTCAGTGACGGAGTGGATGTGAATGGTCGTTTGTCTCTATATGTCCGCTGCGATTGATTGGCGACCACTTTAGGGTGTATCCGCCTTCCACCTTGAAGTCAGCAAGTCCCCGCGACCCTCTTCAAGATAAGTGGTGTTGAAAGTGGACGGATAAATGGATTGTCAAAATGTCCTGAACCTTGTGCGTTGTCATTTAAAAAGACTGAAAAATGAAAAAGACCCAAGAAATGAGGCTGGATAAACACCCCAAAAAAACATTAAATGGCTTTATTGTGAGCTGATGTTACAAAGTAGAGAGCAGGTCAACAGAAAAATAAAATATCGGTTTGTTTTTTTAACTCTTAGCGGACGTCGATCTCTTTTAATAAAAGTAAGCTGCTGTGCTTGTTGACAGTAGAGGGCAGCAAAGACTAAATCAGTGACAGCCTCGATATGGAAAAAGACCACGCACGTCATACTCGTGTATTAACTATTAATAACTTTAATTATAATCCCAGTTACCTGGTGTGAATAAATATTACTGATGGAATCAAGACATTTGTATTTTACTTGGTCAAAGGTCACACTGAAGGGTTGGTACAGAACAGTGCATTGTCATTTAGGAGTTGCCAAATGCAATGTTCATAAGTACTTCTTATAAGAATAGACCAAAATGTTAACTTTTCTCTTACAGGTATGGTGTATAATAAAAAAAATAAATCAAAACAAATGCTTAGGGCAATACTGCCCCGTTGGTGCAAAATATTCTCCAAAACAAGCCACGTCAATCACCCAATGGACACTCAGCATAGCCTTTCAACAAAGACCTGAGATACATTTCTTAGTTTGAATGCTTTTGTTTTTAACAGACTCCAATGGGCCTCTAATGGAACAGCTATACACAAAATGTTGCATTAAAAACGATTGTTGGATTCTATTAAATAATCTTTAAATTGAGATATGTTTCTAAAATTATACCTGACTGGGGAAGCATTAACACAGAGTATAAACATTTCAACCAGGCAAGCTAATAGAAATATGAACACAAGTAGTTCTTTTGTGTTCCAACTTTTTTCAGACAGCATGCTCCACATTGTAGCGGACCACTCCTTAGTGTCTATGTTTTCCAGACGAGTGCTCAGTACGCCAAGCTACACATCATTCCTGGATGATATTCACGGAGCAAGGAGAGCCATGGGAAAGAATTCTGAATGAAAAGTCAACATTGTTCTTTTTGCCGTGAGCCTCCATGTTTGGTTAGGTGCACTCGCTGCTATGGCAGTGTTATGATCGGTAGCCGTACGTTGACGCATCTAGAAGGGCAGAAGGAGAACACAACACAATGAGCATAAATAATAATGAAATGATGAGTTTGCATGAGAGCAAAGTGCAGCACCAGATCCAAAGGAAAAGTAAAACCTTTTACTTTTGTGTTTAATTAACTTGTTTTTTTTTTTAATTACTTGATTAATATGTAGGAACAGGCTTGTTTGATAACCTGTCTCAGTTTTCAGATTGATCTCAGTCTCAGTGTTTGTCAGCCTGAATCAGAATGATTTAGAATCAGAATTAGTCTGACTGGCTGCATTTAATAAACATAGTTCAAGTGACCTAATTTGACAGTGTATGCAGCCAAAAAAAAAAAAAAAGATTGCAATATTTTCAGATCTAAATCAGGCCCTTAGATGTGACATCGGGGTAAAAGGACAGATTGGATTAACCCTGTCATTACAAGACTGATACCACTGAAAATGATTGAGTGACACCTACTGTACCATCTATGACCCATATTTAAGCACAGTGATATGTATCACTTGTAAGGAGATTTAAACACACAAAAAATGATTTAGGCACTCTATCAAAATTAGGTATCCTTTGTCCAACTATGGTGCTGCTGTTTCTGCCTGTACTTTCTCTGCCTTGTGGTGCTGACTAAAGCTGTACAACAAAAAGAAGCCTAATTGGTGTATGCAAATTTGTTATTGATTATGACTGACCTCCAAATGTGAAGTGCACCATATGTCAAAGGAAAACGTTCTCTTCCAAGAGCAATGTTCTAAGCAGTACACACCGCAAATATGTTGTTGCTTCATTACACAACTTAACAAAATTTTAGCAAGCTGCATAAAAGCACTCTGCTTTTTCTAGTGATGTTTGTTTGGCAACTTCTTACTCGGCAGAATTTATGGGGAACCCACACATCTGAGAAAGGAATGAGAGTATTCACATGAGGAAAGTTAGGTAAAGACAATTGAGATGCTCAATAATCTCTTTCTAATCAGCAAAAAAAGAGGGTGATCTTGGAATACTGAGCGTTCTGTTCCCTAATTTTTTCAACTTTACACAAAGGTAAACAACAGTGTGCCAACCCCAGTGGCAGAAAGTGGAATTACACGTGAAAACAACAATATCGAGTTATCACTGGACAAGAAAAAAAAAATTGACAAAAAAGCACGACAGCAAACACCGAATGGGTGATGGCGAGGGGTTTACTGTAGGGAGCGGCGTCTTAAATGATGGCATAGCAGTTGAGGAAAAATGTTCCCAACCCACCCCGCCCCAAACATTTTACTCTGAAAAAAATAAAATAAAATCATGGGGCCACTGAGAGTGTGGGCACAGACCACATGTGAATCACAGGCTGCCAGCTGCCGATCACTACCGTATATTTTTTGAGAACAATAAACATACATAGCATGCTGCTCACCTGAGGCAAATTTTGCCATGCAACACAGTCCCTCCCCACGTGCTGTCTTATAAATGGGTGACACGCAAACCCTTGCGGAAGGGGGAAGGTTGGTGAGTCGCGTCGACAGAGAGTTGGGCGGCAGGTAGAAAGAAGAGCGCTGGGCCACTCTTTGTTGTCCTTCCCAGGTGAGCCAGTAGCCCCTCAAACCATCAAAGCTTCCTTTCCAGTCAACCTGCAACGAGTGGCTGTCCACTGTAGTCAGCTGCAGGTCAGTCAGGGCTGGAGTCTCTGCAAAACATATCAGAAATCAGGAGCCATACAAGAATAGAAGGTGGCAGTTTTCATAAATTACTGGGTAGAATGTACGTAATGATTATCCAACACGCCCTGGTTTTGCGCCCATGAAAAGGAAGTGGACTCCCCGTCAGCACACATCGGAGCACTCATGTTAGTCAAGCGAACCGGACTCTTTCAAGCATGCCCAAGCATGGTACAAACTGCAATGAGTGAATGGTCCCTTAGCGAAGGAACCTTGATCCCAGAGCCGATTCCCAATGGAGTGAGCAACTGCCATGGGGATTTACCTGACTTAACCTCTTCATACCAACACTGTCACATCGCATGAGTTGTACGATATAACAGTATGTTATGGATATATTTTATTATTTTGTTTTAGTTAATGGACAATGAGAATAAACATTAATCCTGACCAAAACATGAAGACATGCTTGCAGCAGGAAGATTATTTTCACCTGCAGTCAATCTATTATTAGATTTCCCTCATCGCTGCTGAGGAAATACTTCTTTACCACCACTAAGTTAGTGTCTTAGTGTGATTTTTATCATTTACAGCTCAGCACAGTCATACTTCATATCTGACTGGTTAAAGAAACTGTCCAATTGCTAATATTGTAAAGTTTGAGTTGCATCTGTGAGTACGACTGATTCTGAAGGCTCTGGACAGATCAGATTTACAATTGCACTTTGTAAAATCTTTAAAGAACAATACAAGTACTGGAAGCAGAGCAGCCAAGAGAAATTCTACAAATTGAAGACAATAGACTTGTGTGAACTATTTCATAAAATTTCATGAAATAAATATTAAAATGTAAGTTGTAAATGTAGGTCAATGCTTCTGATACTGTTTAGGACTGCAGAGAAGGCCTTGCTGGGCCCATGCTCCGCCACTGCTAGTTAGCCACCAAGTTGTTCATATAGCTCACCTTCCTGCGTGCAGGCTTTGACCGACATTGCCTTCTCCTTCCCCGATGAATGCCGGGCGCTTACAGTGACCAGGTAGGTGCTATCCGGTTGGAGGTTCTTGAGGAGTGTAGAGTTTTGCCGCTTGTCCACTGTGACAGTATGTAGCTTTCCAGTGGGCAGGGCAGAGTATTCTATGAAGTAACTTGTGACAGCCTCCGGCTGGAGAGAACCCCAGCTCACTCGAACACTGGTCGGCCCTGACTCGGACACCGTGACCATCGCCAGACTTTGAATTTCTGGTGGGACAGCGAGACCAAATAAAATATAAGCAAAGATCATATTTGCGGCAAGCGATCACGCTCCAAAGTTTACAAGGTTTAAAATCCAACCTGATTGTGTCGTGAAGGTGACCGACAGAGTGTTAAAAGCTTGTTCATTGGACTCTGGAGTCAAAGTCGCAGTATAGGTGGTGTCAGGCTTTAGGCCTGTTAGCCTGACAGAGTCGGAATCTGATGATTGAACCAGTCTCTGGTAATGACTCCCACCAGTGCTCGGACTGGTCCCAGGACCGCTTCCTCCAGTTCCTGTCCCGCCTGATGGAAGTGGACCAAAGCGGATCTCATAGTAGCCCGCCAAACCGGACAGAACAGGTCGCCACTGGAGCGTGGCAGCGTTAGAGGACACATCCCGGACATTGATACGTTCGGCGCGGATTATCTCTGTGGAAGGCATAATGGAGAAATATGTACATAAACGTGATGTTTTCTATGAATAAAAATCTGTCGTAGCCCACATATTAAAATTACAGTCCTGTGTGCTCTTTCAACATCAATGTACTTTCCTATACGACCAAGCGTAATTGTAAAACATTCATCAAATAAAAATGTAGACAGCATATGGGCTTTGCAGTACATTAATTAAACTCCTGAATTTTTTTGTGATCTGGTCATGTAACACATTTGCGCTGCCACTTGTTGCTTGACAGAAATCATCATCACTTTGTTTGTACCCCACAGTGTAATGAAGAAAATTTGCAGTTGAGTCCACCACGCTGTTTTTTTTTTTTGGCCACTGCATACCATAGCGAGTGCCACCAGAAACACAAGGTCAGACAGACACAGTAAATATACACCTGTATATACAACCAGTACATTTATAGACATTAATTATGCAGTTAATTCGGTACTTGCCCCAATGCAAAATTCACGATATAAAAACATTTCTCGGTATTCTAGACTGCACTATCATTCAGACGATGGAGCAAGACAGAGTGCTAAAAATGTCTCAGCTTGAGACAGAAACCAGAGTGCAGACCAGCTTGGGTTTCTTAATACATTCATAACCCCTGCAATAAGACCTTGATATAGACAACCCAGTCAGGCCCCGAGGCAAAATAATAACATAACATAGAGGTGTTATCTGGGCATGTAAGATGATCTGTTGGTCTTTGTTGTGCACATACAGTATGACAAATTCATTCATGCAATGCAACGTGGCTTTGAGCAGCAGTGTGAATGTAAAATTGTCGAGGAGTCCCTGGGGGGGTGTCCAGGCAGCTACCTAATCTGGCAGCGAAGAACTGGACGTGTTCCTCAGTCTATATATAGGAAAGAATATATGCATCTGTATGTGTCTTGTCTGTTACAGTAGCGTGGGATGTAACAACTCATTAATCCCTGAATAGATCATACTATCTCATTACACATGAGCTCAGTCATGAGTCCGGATTGCCGTCCAGTGTCCGTGTCTGCAGAAGCATGCATGGAACTTCGAGCAACTCGAAATGCAACTTATGATATGAGTATTGGCACTTCCAAGTGGTCATTGCAGTTTGGTGGAAAAATGTTTATGTCCATCCAAGAGCAATGACCTTGCACTAGTGAGGCCCGCTGTTGACTCGGCATAGTGTTTCAAGAGAAATACTTTGTTGGCGGCTTTGCAACATGGAGCAAGTTTATAAAATAAGATAAGAAAACCTTTATTAGTCTCGCAATGGAGAAATTCCCAATTATTTAAATAAATGGGTGCAATTTGGCATCATCATTGCCACTGAAAGCCGCATTGTCAATTTAACTAAAACAAATACAGTACAGTATAAATGTCATCAATTCTCGCCTGTTGTTGCACCTTACACTGGTCGACAGCCAATTGCAGGGCAGATAAAAGACAACTTACAGTCTTTGAAGAACCTAGCATGCATATTTTTTTAATGTGTGAGGAACAAAGAGTACAAAGGAAGGCTTGGAAACAAAGGGGACAAAGAAAGGCTGGAGCCAAGATTCAACCTTCCATCTGGGTGGGAGACATCCGAACCACTAGTTCATTGCACTGCACTTCGAGATCATACAAATATGTTCATTAAATACTTCTCAGAACTTTCTTATATGAATCGCTGTGCTGCCGCAGAAGAGAAATAGTCATTTCTACATAAAATAGGTACCAAAAAAATAGAGATATTCCCAGTACATTTTGAAAGTTTGCAAATTTCTCCTTTGTGGGACAAATAAAGGTTTTCTTATCTTAAGTTTAAAGGGGAAGTCAAGTCAAAAATGTTCTTTACAATAATATGGTTAATGCACCCCCACTAGTCTAAAGATGATATTCTGATCAATATTTTAAAGAAGATGAATCAAGCAGCAAAATCCACCCATTTTTATCCATTTCAAATGGCATCATAGTGCCCAAGGGCTCAGCTTGTGAATATCACATGACCAAACCCAGAAAACCGGTGAGCCATTATCTGAGGCCTTCTGCACCAGACTGAAAATCTCAGAATTGGCACAATGTGTGTTCCGCCACTGTGTCATCAAACATGGCGGCACCCGTTGTTTTGCTTCTTAAAGTTATATTACAACTTCAGTAAATTAGCAGGAAAGTAAAAACGTGAGCTCGGGCTTCCAGTCGCTGGCAGCTATGGCTCCATTATTTATCACAATCTGTGACTCTTGCACGATTTGCGGCGCATGCAAAGAAGATTGCAGAGTACGGCAAATACAAAATACAATAGGACAAAATACACAGGTGACTTTAAAAACAAGTAGGTGACTTTAAAACATTGATGGAAATAGATTTCAAACGGCTTCTCAGTTTAAGGCTTTGATATACATCCAACTCACCGATGATGGCATCTCGCAGATCCTCTAAGATGATGCTCATGTCATCAATGTCCACGAAGTACAGGTGGTTCTCAACAGGTGGCGACGCAACTTGCCTCAACACCTGGTAGTTACCATGGCCGGTGGAGACCACCAGCACGGCCACACCCTCCTCCCTCAGCTCAGTCATTGGGCCAATCACATCGCCCGGTTTCACTCCATCCGTCAGCCACACCAGCACTCTCGGGAGCCCCGGACGAGCCCCGTCCACAGGTCCTGGTCTCAGCACTTGATCCTTTGCAATTTTCAGCGCCTCTACGGTGTTGGTGTCCCCCCTGAGGGGTTTGGTGCCCCTCAAAGCCCCTTGCAGGCCACTTTGAGTGCGGAAGGTATCAAAGCCAAACTCAAGGCGAGGTTGGGTGCCCACCTGGAGAAGGCCAATCCTCACCTGATCCTCCCCCAGGGAAAATGGCAGGAGGAGCCCAGACAGGAAGTCGAGCATGCGGGAGTGCTCATAGGACGACACGCTGCCGGAGGAATCCAACAGGAAAAGGACGTCCCCCTCGCAGCAGTTAAGAACTGTGTAGAAAAATATGAATGTGACAAAACATTTGAAGGCACACATTGTTTGGTGAGCTATATTCTAGACCAGGGGTGTCAAACATACGGCCCGCGGGCCGGATCCGGCCCGCAAAGGAGTTTAATCCGGCCCGCGAGATGATTATGTAAAGCATTGTGTCAAACATACGGCCCGCGGGCCGATTCCGGCCCGCAAGGAGTTTCAATTAGGCCCGCAGGATAATTTAAAAGTGAAAAAAATGCATTAAAGACAGAATTAATATTTTTAATAAGGTGCAATTCATTGAGTATCCGCAAGGGGACACTGTTTTGATCAGAGAAGAAGACAACAGCAGCCTCAGTCCGTCACTGTGACAGACCCATGACAGCAGACGCTATCAATAGCACTCTCACATTTACACATTTAATAGCACTCTCCTTAGTTTGTAAGATTACATTTAGATTTTATATGCACGTGTAAATGGTTTAAAACTTCCTTTCTTTATGAATCTCGTTTAATCTTAAAGTGCATTACTATATTTTTCAATACCAATTACTTGTTAATGTTTGTACAATCAGTGGGATCATTTGCAATGCATTTATGTGAATGATAAAAGTAAATTGCACATTTGTCGAAGGAAATGTAAGGTGCTTCATGAAATATTTTGTAAAAGATATGTTCATTAAATTTCAACATTTTCCTAATGTTCTTGTGCTTCTTTATACCAAAACAAAGGAAAGACATTGTTTTGGTTATTTATAGCAAAGTATGGTATCATTTTAATGGTCCAGCCCACTTGACATCTACCGAGGCCGTATGTGGCCCACCATGTGAAATGAGTTTGACACCCCTGCATTAGACATTATCAAACTCAGCATCTGTCGTCGAATCCCCCCGCCGCCCACCAAAAGTTAAATAAACGGATTTTAAAGCATGAACGTCTGCAATTACAGTGACGATAAGACAGACAGACGCACAACAAATATAGCAACTCCAAAGTGAAACCGTCAATATGATATCATCAGAGTCGGAGTGCTTATAAAAAGCTCCCAAGCTCAGCAGTAAGAGTCGCCTCTCAGTTTTTCAGGGTAGTGAGTTACAGTATGTACGTGAAGGAGGTCATGTTTTGGCTGGGTATGTTTCTTATGTTTGTCTTTATTATCAGAAATACAAACGTTTTCTAGATAATCACCTAAAAACAAGATATTAAATTTGAAGATGATTCAAATACTTTGTTTCTTATATATAAATATATATTTATTTCTTTTTATTTTTTTAGGGGACATGCAGGAGGTGGGTACCAAATTAGGATTGTTTGGCCAAAGGAGGATGGGAGAGGGAACAGAGAAGGCTATAAAAAAAGAAGAGGGGCAGTCTGCGGGTAGTTCCATGTGAGAGACGGCAAGGAATGTTTGGATGGTAACGCACGCTTCGCAGAAAGTGACAGCAATAGAGGGAGGACCTAACAGGGCATTTTGGGGTGTGAGATTTTTAGACCATGAGTGGGAGTAAAGTAAACCAAACATGTAAGTGTCACAGATCAGATATGCACTCAGAAAGAATGATCGTAATCATAATTAGAACCTTTTCTCATATGTGAGAATGTTGAAAGGTCTCACTGTGTGTGAAGCTTTACACAATTCTAACACATCCAAACACATGCTTGCTGCTTGTCTTTCTATCTCAATGGAGAATTCTTTCCAATAAGTCTAACTGTTTGGACTTTGGAGTGTGTGGGGGTTCGCCATATCACAACAACCGCCTCCTCACCACCATCTGTAGTTTTGTGCAGGTATGCTGTTTTCTTAAACATCTGTAGCCACAATATGAAGGCTCGACGTATAGAAAATGGAGGACAGTATGGAGGCAGTTCTGAAAGAGGGCCTGCTGTCTCTCTGTTTAAGTTCATTCCTAAAAAGTTTGATGGGTTTCAAGGTCGTGGGGTGTCAGTTTGTTCCACACCAAACTCATCCAAGAATGCCTTTTTGAACTGTGGGGGGGGGGGGAGAAAAGTGACCAAAATATTTTGGTAAGATTAAGAATTTAAGAGATGGGATCAAGTCCAGTAGTTCTCAAACCTTTCACACCAAATGCCATCTAAAAAAAAATACTGAGCGCTCCACGTACCACCATAATCAACAACATTAAGACGTGATAGGTCTTCATGGAAAAAATATTACTGCGGGTCATTGAAACATTTTGCACCGTTTGAACAAAGACACTCCACCTAAATATCAGAAAATTGTAGTAAAAAGTCCAATACAACTGACTTTGAGCAGTGATTTTTTTTCTGGTAGCATGAGAATGAGTCCGAATACTACCAGTACCGCACGTTGAGACAAACTGGTCAGTCAAAAGTCTGACTGATGATGTGACTGTTAAGATGCGTCTCAATATTTTTGTCCACATTTTGCATCAGTTTCCGAGTTTGTGTAGAGTGCAGAGATTGGACCCACAAGAAATGAATTCCAGATTTATTGGTGGACTCCTGATTGAAAGATGAATCCAACACACCCTGTGGTTTCGCAACCTGCAGAACACATGGGGAGATTTTTTTTTTTCTAAGCAAATGTGAAGTGCAGATGGCTTGAAGGTACTACAGAAAATAGTTTGCAAGATTCTAATTTACATTTCACACAATAGGGCCATTGTTTTCAAAATTTCCCTGCAAACAGGCAGATTTGCCTTTATTTCTACATGTTAAGGTTGAATAGATGGCACTTAGACAGGTGCAAAACCTCTTTTTTGCTGCTGAACTTTGTGGGGGTTCAACACGATCATCACCTATTCATGGACATAGCACAGTGGCAGCATCTCACTCACAACAACTATATTAACTCTCAATGACAGACTCAGCAGTTATAATGTACCACTGAGTTTAGCCTCCTGAATGCTTGAGGTTTTTGTTTTGAAGGAACCATCTATTTGAGTCGCAGTAACATTATGATGCATCATGTTTTTTTCATAGACAGTCAAGAGAGAAAAGTGACAATAACAAAAACCTTGAAACCATTAGGATTAAGATATGTGGATGGAATTGTACAGTGTTGTGTCATAATCCTTATGAAATTAAAGATTCTCTGATTTATGTTGTCCTTCATGAAAACAGACAGTCTTTTGTTTTCTTTTTAATCAAAATAAAACATCTGCTTTTACTTTGGAAAACAATTACTGAACCAGTAAGTGAATCTGTTTCAAAAAGATTGGTGAGTAGATCAATACCGCTCACGTGATATTGCTTCATTATTATTATTATTATTATTTTATCTTAAGCAACTCCAAATAAACAACTAGAATTGGTCAACAAACACACGTTAATGCAGAATAAAACGGAATAGTCAATAGTAACAGAATATAACTAATTATAAATAATAATAACGATATTGATACGTATTTATATACCGTATTGTACACATATACAAACGCTCTCCTCTCATTCTCTCTCTCTCTGCCCCCCCCCACCCACTACATTAGCATCGTCATTTTTATTATAATAAAAATAATACAAATAAAAAAATTGGTTACACTACGCTTAGTCGTTCATAAAAAATCAAAACGGCCATCTCTGTCCCTTATCTTTTTTCTACCGTTTTCTTGATTACCACTATTGTGGGGTCCTTCCTTCAAATATACTGTACGTTATTGTGCTAGCGTATTTTTATGAGTGTCTTACCTTTCTGTTTAAAAAATAATAATAATAATAATAATTTTGACTCACCTCCCTCAGGTGCACCAGCCTGTGCATTCAAAGTATTCGGGAGCAAACACATGAGCATCCATGTCAGCAGCAAGTGGCTCTCCATTACTGCACCGACAAAGGGACTGGTCCACCCACCTAATTACAAAAAAATTAAAACACTAATGTGTTGCTGCGGCGTTTCAATATGACTGTACATCCACAAAATCAACCTGGAGGGACAAACTCCCAAGTTTGAAAAAGAAAATCCCAGTTAGAGCATAATTGAGGATTTCTTTTTGTCCCGTGCGGTATCTTCCGTTAATTTGGAATAAAATCAACGACGACGCTCCCCAAACACAAACTGGAAAGTGAGACAACTTCGACCAACGAGTAGTCTGACGGTCCTGCGCCGCAAATGAGCCCGAAACACCATTGTCAAGGGTACTGTAATGAAGTGCAGCGTTTCCGGTAATGTGAGGGTTTCAAAATAATGCTATTACTTGCGTTAGCTCTTTATTATTATTTTTTTCTTTTTACTATCAGTGATGAACGGTCGGGGACAACAAGGCCCTATCTGGCCTAAACACGTCTAGCCTGAACACGATCAGAAGCACAGACCTACATTTTCTTCCTCAAATGTTATTTGTTCAATGAAAGATATTTTTCAGTTCATTCATTTGATGGTACAGTAATCATTATGGGCGCACTACTTCCTGTACATATGATCGGAAAGATTGTGTAGCTCACATACGTGATTAAAACAAACAAAAAAAAAACAGATGTCAGTCCTTCCCTTTTGGATTTTTTTTCTGATTGACACATAGATTTTTAATCTGTGCAATCATTTCCCCCCCCCCCCCCCCCTTGGTGTTTGCCGTCTGATTGACATACAGTAGATATCAGCAAGTGAGATCTCATTTTTGCACCGGTCTTGGGTGGCATCGGGGTGGTTATTATTATGTTAATTAATCCAACTATTAGATAGCAATGGGGCAAAAGTGCAAAACAGCTTGCTTACAGACACATTTTCAGAACACTGTAAAAGAAAAAGAAAAAGTTGGGCAAACTCAAAATGTCAACAAACTTCAATCATGCAATTCAATTCAATATTTTCAATTTTGCAGCTGTGAACACTGGCTTTACCGCATTTCACAACAAAGAACCAAGTTTACAGAACTATTGTCGCCTGTATTGGTCACCCAAGTTAAAAATATAAGAAAGAAACACCTCACCAAATTGTTTTGCGTGCTCGTTTTGTTGGGCTAACATTGTTGCCATAAAAGTCAAGTTTTAAAGTTATTCCAATTTAAATGATTGTTCTAGCACCAAAACTACTGGTTGTGTTTTTGTTTTACAGATTCACTTCTCTTCTACTTCTCTACTACTGTATATCCACTGTAAGACTTAATTGTGAAGTGAACGCGACAGAAAAACCCTCAGGCGTCTTCTGTCCAACTTGACTTACCTCACTTGTGTTCTGTCCTCACTCCTCCCCTGTCAAGTTTCCCCAACCAGGAATAGTAAAGAAGCTCGTGTTCACCATTCGACATCTTGGATGTGAGACAGAATAGTTCTCCTTGCAAGGACAGAAATACATTTTAAGTACAGCACATCTTCTTCCCACTTTGTCAGCCATAGATATGAGGTTGTAAACACCACAGGGGAATACCATCTGATTGAGGATGATCTTCAATCGACTTTTGCTCTTTGGCGAATTTTTCTTTTAAGAGCCTTTCGAGAGTGTCAGTCAAACTTATGTGTGTTCTTATATGACAACATTTTTTGTTGTGTTTTTAAAAAGTTGCACATAGAGAAGATGACTGTTGTCAACACAAAACTCATGAAGACAGAAGTCAGAGACAGACTGAAAGCGCTGTAATTTAAATCCCAAATCAGGAGTTAGTAACCTCACCAAATCATTGTCTACTCATTGTCTTATCCGAAATTGTCCTTTGAGCATCCTTAATTGACATACTGTAGGTCTGGGTTTTGACTTTGACATAGTGAGACTCCAGTCTAATAAACGCTGTTCCCCAATTAATCACTGGGTGCGTCATCCCCAAATAGAGATTTCTTTTTCCCACTCAGTGGCCCCACTTGGACTGGATTTACACTGTATGGTGCAAGTGACACAATTCCAAATTTTGGCTCTCTAGTGGCACAATTGTGACAGAATAAAGAGAAAAAAACACATGAAATATTATCCAAATATGCTCCATAAGAGAGTTTCAATCATTACATAACAAAAATAGAGTCAGTAAAAAACATTGCGTTTACCGTAATTTAAACCAATTGGGCAAGAGTAATTTCAGGCCAACTAAACAGTATGGAACATTCAATATTTCCATTTTTAAATAGTGCTTACTATTCTGCACAGTTTGAGCATTATGCATTTGCATTTTTTCCGGTTTATGTAAGTTTGAAATGTTTTAAAGCATCGTACAGCACTCTGAGTTGCATTCTTGTGTATGAAAAGTGCTATATAAATAAAGTTTGATTGATTGATTGATTGTGCACTTTGTATTCTGGCTTGGCAACTGTTTGAGGAAAATATGACATGTATGTCAATGTTAAAATCACAAGTGGATCAACGCCCTTTATATTGCTCCATTTTACTAAATGCATATTTGCAAGTGCTGTTTTCATAGGTGACCGTTTTCAGCACTTTTCAGCAGAAACAATAACAGTGTCTATTTGCACTCTGAGACCTGATTTCAAATGTTTTCTTTATCAACAAATGGCCCAAATGAAACAATTTCCTCCATTTTCTTTCTTTTCTTTTTTTTTTTTTTTATATTTGAAGAAAAAAAAGTGGAGAAAAAAATCCTTGGCAGAGTATTTTGGACATCTTAAACTTTGAGACTCATTGGGGCTAAAAGAGTTTCTGCCATTGAAGAGATTAGGGAACTTCTGGCACACAGAGAAAGCACCACAAATACTTAAACACAGTGTTTGTATGCGTGTTGTGTGACAGAAGCCAAGTGGAAACAAAGGCAGTAGGAGGTCCGGTGGGATAAATGGACTGGGAAGGATGCTGGAATTCAAGTGGCATTGAACAAAGGTCTGGATTCCAATGTGACACTCGGAATTGAAATACGTCTTTTGTTCCGCTAAAGGCACTGACGATGAATGCAGCCTTTTAGACACACGCACCTAGTGATTAAACACTACACTACCATTACAGTTGAGCAAGGATTGGGACTTTTCCCTCTTGAATCTAGCACTGTTTGATTTCTAATTGCATTTGCATCATCAATCCTGGCATATGTGAAACGCTTCTGCTGAACTTGAACATGTTCTTACATGTGCATGAGCAGTACTGTACACAGTCAATGGCTGTGTTATAACCACACATGGGAGTCCTCTTCCAGCGTTTTTGGCAGTAAATCGGCTTGATATACACTGAATATCCTCCCTTGGAAAAGTATGAGCATATCTCACTTTTTTTTTTTTTTTTTTTTTTTTTTGCAAACTATTTTTTTTTTTTTTTTTGCACGTGTGTGTATTAAATCACATAGCACACAGAACGCACAGATGACTGACCCGTGTGCAGTGCGTGCACATTCAAATGACAGTCTGCGTTTGGACTGTATTGCACATCAATCCACAGACATTTCCAGCTGTTTTCAACCGCACAGTCTTGTGTCAGCACGTCCAAGCATTTCAATCCGTATGTGGGATTCTGCAATCTTTACACTAAGTGGACGACATTTGGAGGAAGGAAATATGTAACGGGAGTCCTGTGCTGTAAACTCCAGCTCAGTCTCAGGCAGTGCCCCCAGAGGGAGGTGCAGGAAGAAGAGGCAAAAAGTGTAAAATGTCAGCAACGGAAAACATTCTGACATTTTGTTCATCTCATTGAGGGTGTGATATAATGGAACTTTAGCAGCCCATCCTTTGGGGGAGGGAGTGGGCTCATAACTCATAGCTTGGAACGATGTCAGCGTAATTACTTATTAGAAGTCTTTCTACACGCAGTTTTGACAGTGTGCAATATGATTGCCTTTGTCATTTTTGACTGAATTCCCCACGATGTATAGTTAGCAGTATTTTCTTCCTTTCTGCCAGTCTTTGATATTTGAGATTTGGTATCGTGTGAGTCATTATGTGTAGAGAAAGAATGCAGTCTGTCCCTCAGTGAACTTGGCCAAACATCAAGACGAAAGCTTGAGGAGAAAATAGATGCAAGGGTGATGATTATGGAAGGTGATGAAGATACATCCCATGGATGGATAGAGGAAAGATACACATCCTGAAAGGTGAAGCTCCATCTGCAAGGTAGGGTTGATCATTGCCCCCGCAGAAAAGTGAAACTACATGTACGTTTATTCAGATCCTCGAACCTGTGCGTAATCCTGCTTTGAATCTGAATCTTTACTTCCAAACTAGCAAATGTTGATCAAATGCAGGCAATTGAAAAGCCTGCTTATTAGTGATATGGGTCAATGCCAGACCCCTCTCTGGGCCCCTTTCAGCTCAAGGCACCAGCCAATTGCCTGCCTTGCTGTGACACCTCTGACACCGAGTACAAACTTTTGGGTGCAAAAAAAGTACTTCAGTTCACAAAAAGTGGGGAAACACTGCAAGCATCATGAATAACAGCCAAAAAAACAAGCCAAAAATAGTGAAAAGGATTTGGCGGTACTTCCCCTCTCTGGGATTTGAAGATGATCAGAAATGCAGACGAGTGGCTTCTACCTTCCTGAGAAGCGCTGACAGAATGGTACCTCCCGACATGCGTCAGTGGTACTTTCCTGCCCTCGTTAAACAGCATCCTGTGTATGTTCACAGTGAGTATTTTTCTGTTTAGCTCCATCTGTTAAGGCATTTCACCTTCAACCGAAGGGACATTGTTTGGTGAGTGCATCACAAAGGAAATCCCAATTGAAATGCCAGGAAGATATTACTCAGATTGATATTGTTCACCTGTTTTAGAATGGCTCCATACATTACTTAAATGGGGAGGCCGGTAGATAATATTTCGGCCAGTGGTAGCTCATTCTGAAAAATTGAGAATCGGGGGAATAAGACTTGAGATCACAGTTTTACAATGACATTTGTCCCTGTTAACAGCCGTGTAATATGCTGGAATAAAAATATGAAACGCCACTTCGAAGCTACCTCTCCACCTCAAATTCTCAAATCTTGTTCTACAAGGACCCAAGACTTTGAAATGCTTAATCTTAGACTCCCCTAAACAAATAGGACAAGTTAGGTTAAACACAAGCACTGAAGAAGCTGGGTCGCATTTTCCCAGAGTAGCTGAAAGTGCACATTCAAGTTTCCACATGCCTGCTAGCTTTTTTGGAGTAAACCTCAGTACTACTGGTTGTCTTTGGCCAGGGTTGGCACATCTGTTTTGTAATAAACAACAGCAAAGAAGCCAACACCCACAAGTTTCCACTGTAAAATGTCACAGCTTTTGGTTCGGCCAAATTGGGTGAGTGCAGGTTCTCTGTGGAGCAGCCTCGGCTCTTCTTGAGAAGTCAGCTCACACAATGGGGTCTCTTGTCCAGAGGAACTTAGATGAATAAATGTATGGATATTATTAGCTTAGCAAAAATGCAAAGTGAAGGGATGACCATCAAATGAGGCACAAGGGAAGAGGCATGTGCAGTGTTTGACTACATGGAGGTAATGACTTTTTCGAGATGAAAGGTTTCCTTTACACGGCGCATCCTGACTCCAGCTGCATGGGAGAAACTTGACCACTAATGAGCCTGAAGTCTCATGGAAACACTTCACTAGTTGTTTCCAAAAACCATCAGCAGAGTAAGTGATACTGCATCGGTAGTCTGAATCCTGGCCTGACGACTACAGTTCAACAATATGAAAGGAAATCAAATTCCATTCAACCCCTCCATCTGCCCCAAGCGCTTCCTTGTTTTCGATGGCGCAAATGACTTTCATCCAAAAGAACAAGCAACTCACAAAATAATGAAGCCTTGCTTATTCAGAAACCAAAGAAAGGTCAGCAGCGGTGACTCATCGACTTTAGCCCGTGGGAAGAGTCACAAACTGACTACACTTGGTAGGATTGAACAGGCAAATCTCACACTCATCACAGTCTGGTACTGTGCTGAGTGTTACACAAGGGCTCAAATAAAACCTCTTTTTTTGGCAGGGTCTGTTTTTGCCATGCAAGCGTGAGGCATGGCTTCGGTTTTGTGGTTGGCTAGATAGCTTAGATCAGGGACTGGCAACTGGCGGCAATTGGGCCCAATGATAAATAAAAAAACAAAAACATTTTTTGGGGGGGTTAATTAAAACAAAACAAAAAAACTGATAATAAGAAACAAAAAATCAGCAAACAGGCAAATTTGCAGCTGACGAACGGACAATATGCAGCACCTGTAGTTTTGAATTGTCATGTCACCATTCACCACTAGATGGCAGACAAGGCTTTTCGTCTTAATGTTGGTTTGCTGTTTATCAATTTACCATCCTTAAATGGTCATTTTATTGAAGAGAGCCCTTTGCACTGGAAAAAAAAATCACAGTACTGTATGTGGTTATTTTGTTACTTCAAACCCTTTGTTGTTGTGTGTTTTATACATGCATCGAGAAACGTTATTTCTAGAAGTGCTATACGATCATGGTTATTATTATTATTTTTTTATTTTTTTTTTATTTTATTATTATTAGCCAAGACTTTTCAAAACAATTCAGGCCACAGAGGATAGCAGCTGGATTGTGCATTCATTCTTCCCATTGTGATTCATCCCGCCCTCACTTCTGCTTCACATCCTGCAACCCCATCTGCTTTCCACCCTTAGTGACACTCCATACAAAACTCCCACACAAGCCCTCACATGTAACATGACATGCGTACTTGTGAACTACAGTAAATGCTCTCATCGACCGACACATGCACACAAAAGGTAGCTGAAGTCACTTTTGTGGTATGTGAGTCTGATTAAAAAAAAAAAAAAAAAAAGAAGGCACCTGTTATAATTACGCGCACATTTGCAAAGGAATTTGTCTGGGCAGGTTGAGTCAAGGGTGGAGCTTGTAACCAATTAAAGATATCAGACAAACCACGCCTTTCTCCACTCCAAACTACAAAGTAAAAGAAATAGGAGAACGGACACGAAAGGCAACAAAAGCCACAATCTCCCACCTGGTCAAATCTTGACTGTTGACCGACATACCAGAGCAGAACCTCACGGACGGGTGAGGCTGAAACTCAAACTTATACCCGAAAGCCTCACCAGGTGTGACGAACATCCTGACGTCCTTGAAACTGACAGAAAGATGACCAGCTTTCCATTGGTCCTGTTAACACCGTCCCCCTTGTGATCCGCTCAACATCCGCCAATCAAGTCTTCCTTGCCTTTCATTTCAAAACATGTCCTCTTTTAGCTCGCCTCTGTCATTTGTTTCCCAACTTCCTGCTTTTACTTTATGTACATAAACATACACACCCTCCGGGAGTGCCCTCAAGGTCAAAGAGTCCACTGCGTTGGTTTCAACTTCTGCCAATTGACATGGTGACAGGAGGGAGGAAAGGATTGTCATTGTCTGCTTGTGATATGGGAAAAAGGCGGTATTTGTTTGAACCTGTCTGCTTTGAGCCAAGCCCGTCTACCTGTCTGTTCACCAATGAGTAATCCATTGTGAGGCTGAGCACACACAAACGGAGATTAGGCGGAAGTGGAGGAAGGAGGTTTTAGTTTGGAAGGCGGATCGATGGCTGACGACTGACAGAGGGAGCTGATGTCAAAGTATCTGTTTTGTTATGAGAATGTTTGTAAAGCTTCTGTTCTTGAAGACAAAATCCACACTAATGTCAAGTGTCTTTTTTTTTTTTTTTTTTTTTTTTTTTAGATTTACAAGGAGTATGACAAGAAGCCGTGCTCGGTTACAGCCATACTTAAGATATTTAATTTGTTTTATATTAAGACCGCAGGAGTGTGTTTTAACATGAATATTTACGATATTGACATTTTGAAGTACAAATAGCACGCAATGAGCTAGCTTGTGGAGCAGTTTAAGAATACGGTATGTCATTACGCAGCAATATTAACTGTCATCATGATCTTACTACTGTGTTCCTCAGTGATTCTGCGTGTTCCAACTTGCACACAAATCCGGTCGCTGCTGAAACTCAGGTGTAAACTGAGGACCCCATGTATCACGAGTTGTTTACCTGTGATCCATTTAATTCCACCGTGTGGCACAGTTTGTTTTGTTGTAAATAAGATTAGCTAAGATAAGAAAACCTTTATTAGTCTCACAATGGAGAAATCCTAATTCACAGCAGCAAAGTTATGAAAGGAAGAAGTAGAAGAACAAAATATAGTAGCTGCTGGAAAGGCAGACACTCTCGCGGCGCCATCTTGAAGTCAAAATAACAAAATAATACAACGCAACACATAAGACACAGACAGTCATCAAACAAATCCTGATCAGTGTTTGTTTTCTTCATCGGGTGATAGCTGTATTTAGTATGTAAATCACACACAGAGACGTGCGTCATTTTTAAAAGGTATGACAGTAGCAGCTTTGATTAGCAGCGAATAAAATCAACTGTGGTCACGCCCAAAACGGCGCAAAACGCCCATTTTTAACTGTGTGTCTGTGAAAACACAGAAACTTGGTCTAGCCCACCTCTGCACAGATTTGGAGCACGCCATGCGCTAGATTTGCACTGGGCATGAAAATAGAGCCCAAGTGGTGCAGAAATTTGATGGATGGATGGATGATAGGTGGTTTTGTAATGAATTCAGAGCTGCAAAAAAAGTGTTCTGCATTATATTTCATATAAGGTCCTGTGACCCACTATGAGGAGCAGTAGTTTGTCTATTTATGGTTTTCAAATTCATCATCACTATCAAAGGAGCACAGCATTCTCAACACTAAACATTTCTTCCACTCGATATTCTCCGATATACACATAAGTTTTGGCGAGATAAAAAGATCAAGACTGAGGACTTGTGGGTCCAGTACGTCATTTGTGTCTGTTTCTCATCACTAGTCAGTTGCAAGAGTTGGACTAAGTAGCATATAATACCTAAATCTTCACAAGACGGAGATTCCAAAACATGAAGCTACTGTGTATCATTTGGAATCTCAGATGAGGAGGTCTGCAACTGCTCAAGTTCTGATATATTGTAGAGTTGAAACATAAACAGGATGCCTTTCTGAGATACACAAAGTGCACATGTGGCTCTGGAAATTCTTCAGTGACAAGGTAGGGATATCATTTTGACAAAGTACTCTCAACGCACAGTTACACATGACTTTGACTGCCTGCCTCCTTCACTTGTGTGGTTTTACAGTTTTAGCACTTCTTTTTTGTTTAAACACGTGATTCAGATCTTATTCCCATTAAAATGTCGAATGGATGGGAGCAAGGCCAAGTGTAGACAGTAGTGTACTGTACTGCGCTACCCGACAAACTGAACTTGGGCTCATCCGTCACGTTGATTTGCAAGTTGAAACTGCCCCCTGATGGACAACGGTGAAACTTCATGCTCCAATGGTAGTTTTGTCATCGTATTTTGTCTCGATATGAGAAAGAAAGAAAAAAAGAAAGAAAGAAAAACATAGTGTTGTGCGTTTTTACCGATATTGTGGGATGTCCACTGCCCAAGCAGCAATATTGAAACTCTAAATCTCGACATAATATCACTGCAGGATACGTTTAAATATCCTATTATCCCAAGTCCGCCTTATCATGTACTGTAGCTACAAATATTTTGTAATTGCTTTAGACAATAAAAGCAATATTTGCACATAAGTTGGCAACATTTTAAAGTAAATGTAGTCTACTAAATGTACCAACATGAAAAATGAAAAATTATGCTTCAATTCAAGGTTGTCTTCTTTTTGTCCCGTTAAGTCTAACAGAACACAAAAAAGTTAGACGAGTGTTTACCCAACGAGGGGCACGCGGCCACCTTGCAGGGGGTACGTGGAAACATGTAAGTATTGATTTCTAAGATGATAAATTAATATTTGTGCGGAAAATCGTTTTAGTTTTTCAAAACGGCCAATGCATGAAAATTAAATGGTCACATTTAGGAGTAAAAATTAAATGATTTTCATTTATTAATCTGTTGTGTTATGTTCTGCATTTGGAGAATCATCAATACGTAGGTCCGTGGTTAAGGGGATATTGATGTTATGACAAACAGGTTAGGGGCTACACATATTTTTCAATATTTTTTATTTCATCAATCCATCATCCATCCATCCACCATCCATCCATTTGTTCATTATCTTAACCCCTTATCCTCACGACGGTCAAGTGCGCGCTAAAGCCTGTTTCAGTTTAGTTTAGTTTGGTTTAGTTTAGTTTACCTTATTTTTGTTCGGTGTACAGAAAACAAAACAAGTTTGCGACGCACAAACGAAATCTCTTTGAAGGCTCCGCCCAGTTTTTGGCCACGTGGAAATACGTCACTGAAAAACTTGCCAACTCGAGATGCATTGAAAGTTAACGTAACTTTGACCATTTATAATTGGAGCTTTATTTTATATTATTAAGAACAATAGTTGTTGAGAAAATAGATCGTTGTTTTCAATTAAACTGTTGACATAGTACGTTCCGTGGTTCTTTGTATGAACCTTAACGTATGTGGGCGTACACGCTTGCGATTATCCGAGCATGGTCGGAAGTCGTGAAGGCAACTAAAGTTCAACCGTGTGAGTTGTGACATCGCTCAACAAATGGAAGCAAAACACAACAGTGCCGACGAGACTTTTACTCCCGGTAAGTGAAATAAAATGTTAATATCAATATCACGACATCAGAGCAAGTAATGACGCTGTTGACATTATGAAAACTTTGTTGTCATTCGCTTTTCCAAGTGACCGAGAGTGCCCGCGCATCTGTTTTGATGTTTCTTTGCTAACTCGAGTGTTACTACTTGTAATTGCCAGTAAGATGTCTTTCTTACAGTTTTTTTTTTTTTTTTGGTGGTTGTATCCTACATTGTTTTCAAGAAGCACTTACAGACCTCCCACGTTAGTTATTCAGGTCAGCTCATTAGAGCAATAATAGCCTAGGTCATCGGAGCTATTTCAGTTGCATGGCTGGGACGTAGTCAAACACTCAATCGCCAAAGGCTTCCTTGCTTAAAAGGTGACACTGGTATATACATTAGGCATGACAAAATACATTGTCCTTAAAATAACTATGTAATATTCTTAACACTGTGTTTGTGTAACCCACCACCCCTATTCCTTGGACAAAGTATTCGTTTTTACGCGAGATCTCTCAACGTCACCGTTGATTGAGTTAATAATTAAACTACAGTACCGTACTGTTTATCTCCTCAGACCCAGGGGGGGCAGAAGCAACACAAGATGCCTCCTGTGAGCAAAGCTCCGACGGAATTATCGCTCGACAGATGAGTGAACAGGGCCGATTTGCCTATGCTGCAGTGTGTGGTGTCTCACTTGGACAGTTGTTTAATGGGGATGAAAACAGGTAACAATAAAGTTGGACAGTGTCAAGTTATGTCCAATGTAAAAACAGATATGTCAAAAAGGTGTTACAACTACACGTGTTTTTTTTTTCCATACTAGTGTGTTCAGGGAACAGTACCTGCAGGGCCTGGTCCACTGGCTTGACCTGGATGAGTCTGTGATGCCTGTCATGGGGGCCTTCCTGTCAGGCCTGGGCTTTGAGGGCTCTGACACCTTCCTATCCATCCTGCAAGCTGAATCACTGATGTCTACAGGCGCCATCCCCATCATACAGGTATCATTGTAATAGCAAATGAGACTAAGATAACTTTTACACCACAATACCTGCTTGGTAGAAGAGCCCCATTTATCTGCTTCCTCCGGCCTCTTATCAAAAAACAAAAACAAAACAAGTTTCTCTTGTTCTATAGCCACATGCCAGGAAGTAAACACAGGAGACCATCGTTCCCCTCCATGGCTGTTTGATAGCGTGTCTCATTTTATCTGATTTGTTCATTGTGCCACAGCTTTGGCAGTTTCTTTCAGATATTTTGCAATGATAAATAAACCAACACTAAATGTAAGTGTACTGTCGCAACATGTTGTTCTGTTTTTATTAGTATTTAAACAAAATTATTTCTGGATTGCAGGACTTGGTGTCTTTCTCTGTCAAAGATGGTAAGAAACCTTACTAAATATATTCCAGTGAAAATAGAATTTTGTGCAAAATCGTTTTGATTTTGATTTGGCCATAGGAAGTAATGAAAAATAAATAATGCGTTCCACAGTCCAAATGTCTCGACCATAAAATATATAGAATAACTGTGCAAGCCATTTTGTTCATCTTCAGCATTATTCACACTCATAGAAACATAATATTAAGTAAATCAGTGCTAAAATTATGAAATAAAACCAATAACACAATCATTCTTAACATTGAGGTGAGTGGCAAATGACAAAGGCTTACAGAACTGAGTTAGAGTGACATATCTTCAAGTCAGAAGTTTTGTATTTTTTACTTTTGACTTTACGCAGGTTTTACTTATATATTTTTACCGAAATAATATATGCAGCCTTTTTTTTTTCTTTGTAATAAACTGAAAGTGAGATGTTCCACCCCATGCTCTCAGGCCACTACGATGCCAGAGCGAGGGTGCTCATCCGGCACGTCGGCTGCCTGCTTCGAGTGTCCCCGCAAGAGCTGGAGGAGTTTGAGGAGACGCTTGGAGAAAGGCTGACAGAAGGAGGAGAGGAGAGCGAGTAAGATGCTGAACAAGTGGCTTATTGTTTTCAAAAGTCTACCTTCGCTTCACATTAAGATTCTTTTACAGATTTATTCATATTGTTTCAAAATGTAACTCATGCAGCTGATTCCAATGCTTTGTTTACTAGGGAAGAGTTATCCCGGCGACGGAGGAAAGAAAGAGGTCGAAAATTAAGACGCTACTTTCTCATTGGACTCGCAACAGTCGGTGGTGGAACATTGATTGGTGATTATCCATATATTGTCCATGCCGTTTATCATGTGGCCATAGCAGAACTGGAGCCATCTCATGGCGAGAGGTGGGGTGCACAATGTCGAGATCACCTGTCAATCAAGGCTTTGAGGAAAACAAACAAGACTTTACAATTAATAAATGCCCGGTCCCTTCTGCAGCTGAGTAAATGGGGAAAACATGAGGAAACAGCTGCTTTTTTTTTTTTTTTTTTTTTTTTTT